CCTCCCCTCCCCTCCCCTCTCCTCCAGTTGTGGGAGGTAGTGAGAAAGCAAATCACCAGGTCCTGGTCTTGAGCCATGGTGGGCTATGTGAGAGTCCAGCACTTTAACCACTATGCCACTTGCCAGTCCCATCGTTGGTTAGTTTTTATGACCCTTTTAAATCAAGTTTTTGCTTATTTCCTGAGTGTTATTATAGACTTATATATTTTCACATACATAGCTTTTTTTTTTAAGAGTCACTTTTGCTTTAGGGCACGTGTACTTGCTAGAACGCCATAAATGAACAGAGAGACAGAAAGTAAGAAATCACACCCCTGGGGGATGGCCACCCTGCAATCCCTTTTTCTCTTGGGATCTTGGGTATACGCACAAGCTTGTCATGTGATTTTCAAGCTTCTGGGTCCAGGACTTGAACTTGGCCGACTACATGGGAGTCCAGTGACATAACCACTATGCCATTTGCTTCTCCCCATATATAGTTATTTAATTACTTAAGGTTGTCATGGATTATTCACCATTATAGTATATTGTGCTATGCTTTTGCATTTATTTGTGTCCAATAGATATGTTGCAATATGTTTAATATTATAGTTTTCTCCTTTATTTATTACACAGGGATATCTTTTTTGTCAGTTGGTATATAACTACAGTATAGAGGGCATAATACTCTTGTGTTTTAAAGCTTCATACACTGTCACTATTCCCTTTTTGTTTGTTTTTTAATGAATTATTTTATTATTTTTTAATTTGAAGAGAGAGACAACCGCCAAGTACCAGACTTGAACCATAGTCGGCCATGTGGGAGTCCAGCAGCTTCAACTCCCACGCCACCTGTCAGCCCAACACTGTTGCTGTTTAAGCCTTTGTCTTCTGAAACAAAAGTTCCCTGCAATTCATTTGACTTACTATTAATCAAGTTTTCTTTATTCAAGAATTCTCTTTATTCTCCATGAGATTAAACATCACAGCTCAGCAGATGGTGTTGAGGTTGAAGCACTGGATTTCACATGGCCGGCTTTGTACTTTGAGTACCACACCTGGCGGCTTTAGAATCATGCTGGGCATGTGTGCACAAACTCAGGAGAAAAGTGAAGCAGAAGGTGACATAACTATCGCCCCCAGAGGGCGACTTTTCACTTCCCCTCTCCTCTGGGAGTGCACACTCCCTATGGCAGAAGCAAAAGGAAAAAAATTAAATATCATAATTAATAGTCTTCACTGTTCTTTAAACTAAGTATTAATTTTGATATTACATGTTTCAATATGGAAAATTAGTTTATTATCAACAACTAATCAGAAGACAGTGTATCTTTACATCTAGCTGATAACTCTCAAAAACCTGTGATAGAATTACCAGCCAAACACAGTGGTGCTTCAGGAGAAGTATTGCCAACGGTGATGATGAAGGCACATGAAAACCGTGGTACTGAAGGGTTTCCCTTCAAGCAAGTCCAGAAAACAACAGATGCCCCTGCCTGTGAGTGGAGAGAAGAAGAAAACCCATACAAAGTAGTACCTATGACCCATAAAGAAAATCAGACTGAGAGAGGTATTCATCCTGAAACAAGAAATGTAGGAAACAGGCCTGTTAAAGATAATTTTGACTTCAGCTTGCAGTCACATCCACCACTGGTGCAGGATCTTAAAGGTGGTAGGGAAATAAACGAACAGAAGGGAGTTGAGAAGTCTGTTAAGCAAAGTTCTGTAGTTTCACCACTCCAGAGACTTGTTTCTAATATCAAAGCCATCACTGATCATGAAGATGTGTATAATTTTATAGACTGCTCATTATTCACCCAAGAACAGAGAGCAGACAGGAGGAAGAAATCTTTCCAGGGTAATCGGTCTGGCAAAGCTTTTGGTGAACACTTACACCGTGCTCTAAGTCAGAAAATCTATACAAGAGAGGACCTGTATAAATGTGAAGTTTGTGGAAAGGACTTCAGTCAACAATCAAACCTTGCATGTCATTGTAGAATTCATACTAGGGAGAAACGTGCCCAGTGTGAAGTGTGTGGCAAAGCCTTTAAAAGTGGCTCGGAGCTCATTATACATGAAAGGATCCATAGCAGAGAAAAACAATATAAATGTGATGTGTGTGGCAAGGTGTATGCTCATAGTTCAAACCTTGTAAATCATCGTAGAATTCACACTGGAGAGAAACCTTACAAATGTAATGAATGTGGTAAAGTTTTTAGGCTTAATTCACACCTTACTGTACATGTGAAAATTCATACTGGGGAGAAACCTTACGAATGTAATGAGTGTGGCAAAGTCTTCCGTCAGTCTTCAACCCTTGTTGGTCATCAGAGAATTCACACTGGAGAGAAACCTTACAAATGTAATGAATGTGGTAAAGTTTTTAGGCTTAATTCACACCTTACTGTACATGTGAAAATTCATACTGGGGAGAAACCTTACGAATGTAATGAGTGTGGCAAAGTCTTCCGTCAGTCTTCAACCCTTGTTGGTCATCAGAGAATTCACACTGGAGAGAAACCTTACAAATGTAATGAATGTGGCAAGGTCTTTAGCACCAGGTCAATACTTTCACAGCATCGCAGATTTCATAGTGGAGAGAGACCTCACAAGTGTACTGAATGTGGCAGAGCCTTTTCTGTCCGTGGAAGCCTTATTAACCATCAGAGAATCCACACTGGAGAGAAACCTTTCAAATGTGACGAATGTGGGAAAGTCTTTCGTCGGGCTTCAAACCTTGCTGTTCATCAGAATATTCATACAGGAAAGAAACCATACAAATGTAACGAATGTGGCAAAATATTTTGTCATAGTTCACACCTCGAGGCACATGAGCGTGTTCATACTGGAGAAAAACCTTACAAGTGCCGTGAGTGTGGGAAAGCCTTTAGGGTGTCCTACAGCCTGACTAACCATCTAGCGATTCACACGGGAGAGAAACCTCACCGATGTAACGAGTGTGGCAAGTTCTTCAGGCACCCTGTAGACCTTGCTCGCCACCACAGAATCCACACTGGAGAGAAACCGTTCAAGTGTAAGGAATGTGGGAAAGGCTTCCGTCAGTCTTCTGGCCTTGCAACTCACCGGAGAGTTCACACTGGAGAGAAGCCTTACAAATGTGATGAATGTGGGAAAGCATTTATTTCGCGCTCAGCTCTTATTAAACATCAGAGAATGCATACTGGAGAGAGGCCTTACAAATGTGATGAATGTGGCAAGTCATTTGGGAGCAGCACTGCACTTAAACTACATCGAAAAATTCATACTGGAGAGAAGCCTTTTGAGTGTAGTGAGTGTGGTAAAGCATTTATTTCGCGTTCAGCTCTTATTAAGCATCAGAGAATGCATACTGGAGAGAGGCCTTACAGCTGTAGCAGATGTGGTAAAGCCTTCACTCAGCAGTCTATCCTAACTGATCATTGGAAGATTCACACTGGGGAGAGACCTTACGGGTGTTCTGAGTGCAGCAAAGCCTTCCGTTCCCGTTCACATCTTGAACGACATGAGAGAACTCATGCTAGAGCGAAACCTTGCAAAGGTAACTAATGTGACCACATCTGCAGTGATCTCACCTCGCAAGAGGTTGGGGAATTCATTCTAGAGAGAAAAATGTATAATGAGTGGTAAAGCCTTTAGTTTTCATTCTAGGCTTGTTACCATCAGTGAATCCGTAAGGATAGAAATGTTGCCAGTGTAGTGGACGTGGCAAGGCCGCAGGCAGAAGTCTGACAGTCTTCACTGGAGGATTCATGCTAGTGTGAGCCCTCACGTGTGTGTGGGTGTGCCAGATTGGTTACTGTGCTTTCAGTCTTCACAAGGCATCAGGTAATTTGTACCAGTGAGAAACCTTCCAGAGCTTATAAGTGTGGCAAGTTGTTTTGTATGCTTTCACAGCTCTCCAGACGTTGGATAATCTATACTGGAGAGAGACCACATAAATGTAACAAATATCAAAAGTTTTTCTGTAAAAATTACTCTTTTTCTTTTTAATAATTTTTAAAAGAATTACTGAAAAATAAAGATAAAATAATTCTTAAAAACAGTGACTGTTTAATTGAGAATATATTATATAACTTATAAGTCAATAAAATTTAACAATTTTTTTTCAAAAAGTATTTAATTTTATTTATTATTATTTTTAAAACTTGATGAGAGAAAAAGGGAAAGTGAGAAAGCAAGGTACCGAGTCCAGGACTCAAACTGCAGTTGGCCATGTGCGAGTCCAGCACATCAACCACCAAGACACCTTCCAGCACCACAATTTTTGTGTGTGTGTGGCGTGGAGAGGTTTTTACTATAGGATGCTGGGCCCTGGGACCAGCAGTTGGCGTAATGGCTGTGTCGCTGGACTCCCATGTAGTTGACTGTGGTTTGAGTCCCAGACCTGGTGGCTTAAACTCATGCTGGGCGCATGTGCATGTGTGCCCAAGATCCCGAGAGGAGAATGGAGAAGAAGGGATTGCGGTGTGGCCATCCCCCCCTGGGGGGTGATTTCTCGCTTTCTATCTCTCTGTCTCTCTCTGTCTGTCTGGCAAGCGCATGCGTTCTTTAGCATAAACCTCTCAAAAAAAAAAAAAGAAATGAAAAAAGAAAAATAATGGATGCTGGGCTCAACAGAAAGACAGAGAGACAAAAAGCAAGAAGTCACACACCCCCCGCCCGGGGGAGATGGCCATGCCTCAGTCCCTTCTCCATTCTCCTCTTGGGATCTTGGGCACACACTCACACGTGCTTGGTGTGAATTTAAATCACTGTGTCTGGGACTTGAAACATGATCCGCTACATGGCAGTCCAACGATATATCCATTATGCCAACTGCTGGTTCCCAGCCCCCAAAGTTAATATATTTTCTTAATGATTAATGAATCATGTTCTTTTTCCAACCTAATCTTATTCCTCAGAGTATTAGTTTATAACTACCATTTAACATTGACCATTGGGTCCCTAAAGTTCAAAGCTTTTAAAATTTTTCTTCAAGGTGGAATAAAAAAACTACAGCGTCGGGACCAGCAGTTAGCATAATGGCTATGTCGTTGGACTCCCATGTAGTTGACCGCGGTTCATGTCCCAGACCTGGTGGCTTAAACTCATGCCGGGCACATGTGCGTGTGTGCCCAAGATCCTGAGAGGAGAATGGAGGAGAAGGGATTGCGGCGTGGCCATCCCCCCCTGGGGGGTGATTTCTCGCTTTCTGTCTCTCTGTCTCTCTCTGTCTGGCGAGCACACACGCCCTATAGCGAAAACCTCTAAAACAAACAAACAAACAAACAAAACACAGCATTTTGTTCATGTACTCTCTTCCTGAAGTTGAGGTATGAATTATTTCCTCCCTGCTGTCTGCTCAAAGATTCTAATAGAGAATTTTACTTATTTATTTATGTATTTATTTATGTATTTATTTATTTATTTGGAGAGGTTTTTGCTATAGGGAGCGTGCACTTGCCAGAAAGACAGAGAGAGACAGAGAGAGAGAAAGCGAGAAATCACCCCCCAGGGGGGATGGTCACGCCGCAATCCATTCTCCTCCATTCTCCTCTCGGGATCTTGGGCACGCACGCACATGTGCCCAGCATGAGTTTAAGCCACCGGGTCCGGGACTCGAACCACGGTCAGCTACATGGGAGTTCAGCGATATAGCCATTATGCCAACTGCTGGAACATGAACCGGAGAATTTTATAATAGAGCAGTTTCAAATCCTGACACCCTAAAACCTGCATCACTGTAGATGAACATGAACCATGTCACATTTTTACTTAACTTTCCATGTGTGCCAAATACGAGCCACGAAGTGAAAATAGGAATAAAATAAAAATGTAAAAGGAAAGTAAATGTGAGGCTGGCTCCATGTCCTAATGGATGAAAGAGCTGCGTCCCAAATGGTGACTGCACGATTCAAGTCCCCGTCCTGGCCATCTGAGGTACATGCTGAGTGCTGTAGGTGTGCGCCCGGTGTGGGATGGGATGGAGAAACAGAACAGGGTTTGTGGCGTGATCATGCCCCACTGGGGTGCTCTTTCTGTCTGAATCTGTCTTTTTATGGACAAAAGCATGCACCTTCTGGTAGTATTTTTTTTTTTCTAAATTGCTAAAAAATATTCTGTAGATGAATATGTAAAAACCCATGGTGAGGCCAGCTGGTGGCACCAAGGTTAAGGTGAAACATGACAGGAATGTAATAAAAATGCCCAGGGTCCCACGGGCTGAGGACGGGAGGGAGGGTGTTTCAGTGTGACCAGACCCCATGCAGGTTACCTCTCTCTCCCTTATATGCAGGCACTCTACCACTAATAAAGCAAAGCAATAAAACATGCGGTTGTTTTTGTTTATCCTAGAAGGCATGTATGCTCCCCAGCAAGAAACAATGACGAAGCACCTCATATGGGGATGGGGATGGCCATGCTGCAATCCCTCTTCTTCCATTCTCCTCTTGGGATGTGAGCATGCACACAGGGAGGGATCACCTTACACACGGTTTAAGTCCCAGACCCAGCAGGATCAAAAGCTGGGTACATGTGAGCTTGTCCCCAAAATCTCAGGAGGAATGAGAAGGGAAAGCCCCGTGGCCATATCCCACAGGAGTAATTCTCACCTCGTCTCTCTCTTCCTTTTTCCCTTGGTGAGTACACGTGCCCTACAGTTAACAAAAAAAACCCCAGAAACTGGGGCTTCCAGGTGGCTTGGTGACTAAGGCTCTGGACTCCTACAGTGCTGCCCGTGTTTCAAGTCCCAGACCTGGTGGCTTGCTTTCTCTGTCTCCCTTTCTCTCTCTCCCTCTCTCTGGTCAAACTGAAGAATAAGAATGAATAATTCTTAAAAAAAAAAAAAAATAGAAACTCATTGTGCAGGTCAGCTGGTGGCATGCTGGTTAAGGGACTGGATCCCACAAGGCAAACTGGTTTGAGTCCAGGATGTCAGGGCTTGAAAAACACCGGGCACACATGTGCATGCTCCAGTCCCAGGAGGAGAATGGAAGAAGAGGGTTTGTAGCATGACCAAAGGCCCCTTTTTTTTTTCTTAATTTTTATACCAAAGAAGGAGAGAGAAGGAAAGTGAGAAACCACACCCCAGGGGGATAAGACTGTCTACAATTTCTTCTCCTTCATTCTCTTACTGAGATTTTGGATATTCACACACACATTCATACATACACATGCCCCACATGTTTTTGCATATTTAGCCATGTGGGCTCCAGCACGTTAACCCAAGCCAATGCTGTCCCCAAGAGCCCACTTCTTTTGTTTGTTTGTTGATTTGTTTTTGAGGTTTTTGTCTTAGGACACACACACACACATGTGCCCTCACCAGAGAGAGGAAGACAGAGACAGTGAGAGGGGAAGTGAGAAATCACCCTTGGAGGGTTGGTCACACTGCAGTAGGGGGGCCTTCCAGGACAGAGGAAGATAACTGAATAGACTTAGAACTTAAGTACAGTGGCAGCCTGTGGTGACCTTGTAGCCCTGCTCCCCTAGCACCTGAGCACCTCTTGTGACCTCTGTAGCCCAGATGCCAACCTAGCAACTCTAACTGATGGGATGTACTGTAAGTTACATAAACAGAAACTGTGAATATAGTGAGAATATGAGAAATCTTAGAAAAGTATACATGGTTCCAACCCTGTGACGGTGGTTAAGGGAGCTAGATCCTGCTTGGCAGTGCAGTTAAAGCTCCATCCCTGGCAACTGGAGAGAGATGCCGATCTCTTGTGCATGTATGACTTGTCATGATAGCATGGAGAAATTAAAAAGAGACTGAAAGTGAGAAATAACCCCCCACCCAGGGGGATGGCCATGTTGCAATGTCTTCTCCATTCTCCTCTTGGGATTTTGGGATGCCTGGCATTAGTTTCAAGCCACTGGATCTGGAACTTGAATCACGTGGACTACAAGAGAGTTCAGCAACGTAACCATCCTGCCATCTACTGGTCTCCTTGTTATTTTATGTTTTCTTGTGCTCACCAGAGAGAGAGAGGGAAAATTAGAAAGCCAGCCACCGGGTCTGGAACTCAAACCACAATCGGCCCCATAGGAGTCCAGTGCCGTTAGCACTATGCCACCTGCTGGCCCTCTAATTTTTTTCTTTGAGAGATTTTTGACATGGAGCATGTGTGATTACCAGAGAGAAAGCCCTGCTGCAGTCCCTTCTCCTCCATTCTCTCGGTAATTGGGGCACCTACGCCTATGCACTCATCGTGCATTTCAACCCAGGGTTCAGGACTGGAACTGCAGCTGACTGTAGGAATCCAGTGCCTTTACTACACCACATGCTGACTCGAATTTGTTACTTAAAAAACGAACAACAGCAACAAAAAAACACTTTTAGGGAATTGATTAATTTTATTTGTTATTATTTAATTTGATGAGAGAGAGAGAAAGGGAAAGTGAGAAAGCAAGCCACCAGGTCCAGGATTCAAACCGTCATTGGCCATGTGGGAGTCCAGTGCTTTCACCACACCACCTGCTGGCCTCCCAAT